TTGCTTTTCCGATTGCTAATGTCACCACTGCAAGCAGGAGCTGCCATGGCCCTAGCCCTCCAGCTCTCTGCCAGGCAATGGTTTAAATGTTAGGGACCCCAAAGTGAGACTCAGCCTGCTTGTTCTTTCAAGAGAGTAGTCTGACTTGCCCCATGTCCAGTCTCTTCTTTTTTTTTTTTTTTACTTTCAGACCACTTATAATTTTACTTGTTGGATGCAGTTCAGCTGCAAAATGTCTTCCTGTGATATAGAAACTCACCTACCTGTAAGGAGCTGCTTCCTCTTTAAGGACAACTAGGTCTGTATTTCATAGCAGAAGGGAAAGATGCTTTCTATTTAAAGCAGACGGGTTAAGAGTTCAGGAAGGAAGGATGAAAAGAGATCATGGGAGGAAAGGTTCTTGGAGATGTAGGGATTTGAGAGTGGAGATAGGCTGGTAGTTGGCAGACAAGAAATTACACAGGGCAATTTGTACTAAGAACTGTTCTGACCCGATCTTAAATCAGTTCTTTACAGTCTCCCCTGAGGAACCACAGTAATTTCCTTCAGCTTTTACTCAAAGGCCAGACCCTCCTCTAGGCAACTTCTTTTTCGCAGGTTGCTTGGTGATGTCAAATGGCAATTGCATTACCAGTAAAACCAGTTTCCCTCATTTCTGTCAATCATCAAGTTACAATCTCTGCTACCTGCCATGGAGCACAAGTTCCTGCCTAGAGCCAGAGCTTTGGTAGCTTTCAAAGCCTTGCACTGTGCTTGTTTGCAGCCTGCCTACAGAGAGGAGCAATGCTGTAGTACAGTCCATCGTCACAGATTTCCACTACCCTGCCTTTTCTGTTGTGTCCTTGCTATCATATACATACCTTTTTGCTCCTTCATCTCCCTGCTTTTGCTCCTTTCTCCATATGAGTTCCTCCTATGGCTTCTTCCTCCTCATGCATGACACCTCTTAATGAGTTTCTCTATGGTGCGTTTACCCCAAGCATAAATTTTTCCAAGCCAAATGCCCAATAACTGCATTAGAGCAGGTACTGGCAGGATTCCTATAATATTGGGTCCCTAGCCTGGAAAATCTCCATCTAATTTAAATTACACTCTCTATTTGACATCTGCTTTGGCTCATGACTGAGATCTAACAGCTACAGAGAGATAAGGATCCCAGGGAGTACTTGGGAAGGACTAACCAGGAAAAAACATTGCCTTCTACTAGCTGTAGCTGCAGTAGTTTAGATATGTCATGGGCCATTGTGGGTGACACAAATGGCTGAAGAAATCAATCCTTCTGTTTTATTAGCAGAGGAATTGGAGCTCTGAGGTGTGGCCCCCTTGTGAAGGATTAAGGAAACACATCCTTGTCCCTATACACTCACAGGTTTCTGAAAAAAATGCAAAAGTCATTGGCAATCTCACAAGCTGCAGTAAGTGCTGCAGAGAAACACTGCAAGAAAAACATCACTTCTCCATACAGCTTTTTCCTGATTTTTAGTAAAACTTAGAAAACAAACAAACAAAAAAACACTAGTTGGCCTTGTGTGTGTGTGTGTGTGTGTGTGTGTGTGTGTGTGTGTGTGTGTGTGTGTGTGTGTGTGTGTGTGTTTTAACCTGACAGATCACGGAGATAAAACTCACAGTCCCTGCAGCAAATCAAGAAATCCTGCAGTACCAAAATGAAAAACAGTTTTTTTACAGTAGTCGTCTTGCTATTTACATATGTTCTCCCAGCTTCCCTATCTAATTAGACTGTGAGTCCCATATTAACTTATGCTGGCAGATAGCTCTTTTGTTTGCTTGTTTTGGGTCTGTGAATGTCTGCAGAGATGAACTGTTTACCCCTGTTTACCCATTTTGCAGAAAAGGAAGTAAAAACAGAGAGAAGTGAACAGTCAGGTGAGAAGGATCCTGTTCACAAAGGGTGAGAAAGGCTAAGTCAGTGCTGATGATGCAATTGATACTGTCGAACTTATGTGCAGGACTGACCATCTCATGGAATTTATATATTTATTAGAGGATCTCACATATAAGCAAAGGATGCAGGGCTTTAGGCACAAAGCTGCTCATCTGTATTTGCTGAGAGTGTAAAAGCAGGGAGGTGTTCAAAAAAGTTCCCAGCCCAGCAACTGCAGGCCAAGTTGCAAAGACCACACCATCTGTCAGCAGCACTCAGCAAAGAGCACTGGAGGATTTACACCAAACCTTGGTCTAAGTGCAATGAGTAGTAGAGAGAAAAATGCCTGAAAAGGCCCTTAAAACAAATCCAAGCTCTTCTCTCTGTGGAGTTCAGCAGTTAGATCAGTAGCAGGGCTGGCATGACCCCACATCCTACTTTTTTGAGAGATGAGTCAGGTACAGCTAGGGCAAACTGACATGGATAAGTCTCTGCTTAACCTTAGGTAACCTTGGGCCGCTTTCCAGCATCCCTGACTGCACACTGATGTGCAGGAGCAGCCGCTTTGCCTCCTGTTTTCCCTTTCCCTTGTTGAGCCTGGAGCTGGAGCAGCACAGTCCCGCATCCTGGAGCTGGCAAACACTGCCCTGCATATGAGGCTGAAAATCCCTTAGCTGACTCTGCCAACAAGCCTATATCTAGGGAGAGCAGCCTGCATTCAGCTGCCTTTATGGCCATTTTTACCCCTATAAACAATCTGTTTTCCTTTTTCTGGTGCCAAAGACTGAAATTGTRCTTCAAGTGCTAGGGCTCCTATGTTCTATACTTCACTTTAGCACTGACTGACCATGCTGCCTGTGAAGTGCAGACAAGTATCATTAGCAGTTAGGCCAGGCTGTAGGAGACAGATCTATTAACTAGGTCTCACTATCCCACTTCGAATCTTCAGCAAAAATAACATCTTGATTCAAAAGTTTCTTTTTTCCTATAAAATTATAGTACTTACATTTGCAATAAGAAAAAGAAATATAGTATCTTTTTCCAGAATGTCCCCATATGCTCCTTTCCTTACCAAAATAAATGAATACAAATAAATCATAGAAAATAYGAAGAAAAACAAACTTGATATTCTTTATGGGAGAAAATATTCAAAAAACGGAACTGTTCCAAAAGACCGAAGAGTTCCAAATTCTAACACAGAGTTAGAATACTCTAACTCAGTGCTTCTGTTTCCCTGCCATGTAAAGGGATGATAACATCCACATCTGAGAGATAAAAGTGAGTTTGCTTGAACAGTAAGTGCAAAATCCATTTGCCATTCTTGCATGAAAAGGGCTATTGAGACATGTGGCATTAACCGTGCTTTCATCTGACACCCTGCCAACTTGCTTGAAACCTTCCCTTTACCCACAGCAGGGTCAAAAGCCACTGGTGTGGCTGGGATAGGGCTGTGCTGCCAGCACAAAGAACCCCTTCTGGCATTTTATCTGGTACAGAAATAAACCTATAAGCTTGGGATTTCTGTCCATTGGTGAATGAGTGAGTCAGAGAAGCAGCAAACAAGCAGCCCTGATGTGCCACGAACTGACCTGCAGGCACCTGGAGGCTAAAGAAATCTGGCTCCTTGGTCTTGCCCTATTTGTTTTCTAAACTGCCGAATGAGGATCCCTTTGATTTGTAAGCAAGCGCTGCTCCAGGGAAGCGCCTGGCTAGAGGGTTTGGCAGCAGACCCCGGAGCCTTTCCACCTCTAAGCTGGCAGCAGATCTGGCCTGGGTTGTTAGCAGCGAGACAACACCAGGGGCTGGCAAGCTTGCAGTGGCCAGCAGGATGCAGGTTTTAGGCTGCACAGTCCAACCTCTAATTCAGTCATCTCTTCAAAAGGGCTCTGGAGGGTTCGGCAGAAAATGCTAAAGAGCGGGGAGATGGTTATTGAAAGAAAAACTGCCTCAGTAGCTACTGGCGCTACCCATGCAAGCTGACCCATGCTGCTATGCTTTACCTAGCTGGGGAGGGCTTGGATGGGAAGACCCTGTTGCAGAGTGTGTTTGCTCCTTTTGCTCTGTGATGGGAAAGGAAACTGTTATGTACCTTGCCAGTCTACTTAAATTGGGATCTCGCTGACCCTGAGCAAGAAAAACACTTTGATAGTATGGAAAACCTGATATACGCTGGGACCAGAGGGGTCTTCAAGGAGCACAAAGATCTTCTGACAGTAAAACTATGAAATACTATCTTGCCTCCGTACTCCTCTCACACCAAGGGGAATTGTAAAGAAGGCAGCAGCATTAATTATTGATTTCAAACAGAATTAATACAGAGGGAACGTTTACTAGAGCTGATAAAATGTGCCTTGCAAGATCTTTATCCTTAGGTCAATAGCACAAACAAGGCAGCACAGCCCCTTGGATGCTGAACAAGGTGTGACGTCTTAAGCCTGTCAAAGCAGAAAGACAAATGAGTGCCTCAGGCTGCAGAGTTTTCATGAGCTGGTCACACATCACCCATGTTCGCTTTTGGGGTTAAGATGATTTCTCCCTTTGCTTGGATGGAGAGCAGGCTCCTCAGAGACCACAGCCTCTGCGTGCTGGAGGCATCTCTGAGAATGGCGCATCCCTCCCTTGGTGTGCACATTCTCGTACTTACATAAATATTGTCAATGCACATAAATCTGCATAAATTAACACTCTCCCTTGCCTCAGTGTTTGGTAAAACTCTAATCAGCAGAAAAGAAGGAAAAATAAATTTAAGATAAAGGAGTAGATCCTAAGATTGTATGAGACCTGTGCAATCCTCAGCTCTGTTAAAGATTCTCCATTTTATACTATCTCATAGTATAATGCAATGATTCTCCCACTGCCTTGAGACTTGATGGTTTATGACCTAGCTTTATTTATTTGCATACACAAACTAACCTGCTTTATAAATTACAGCCGAAGGAGGGGACATTCGGCTCTTCCTTCTTCCAGGAAGCTTTATATTCATCAAAGTTAATTGTAGTTGGCCGTTAGTTCCTATAAATAATCAGATACATTGCCAAGACACAGAATAAATCCACCCAAATTATGCTAATACGTAGGGCTTTGAAAAAGTTTAATCAAAGTTTTGATATGAAGTAGCAATCAGCAAAAAACTTCCAGTTCTTAAAGCTCCCCTGTCTGCAGGTGTCACAAAGTTGCTAGAAACAGGCAAGAGCAGTGGAAACTTCAGAGGCTGGGTGCTGAAAACCAAATAAGCAAGGCACTGTCCTCTACATATCTTCAGGGATGAGTTTGCTTCATAATCATCAGTGGTGTAACAGTGGTACCATATGCCTCGCCATGGCCTACACAGGGCCTTAAGGATGGAGGGACATCAGTACAGGTTAATAAGATCGAAGGCATCTCTTTGAGACACAGCTATATACTGCCAACCTCCCACCTACCTTCCTATCGCCTGATGAAAATGCCTTGTTCGGGCTTTTCCCCTTGGTCTGTAAGTCCAAACACGAGCCTGGCTTCAATCTCTTCCCTGCCGAAGGTGAAGTCTCTTGCTTTGCACTGTCAGAGACAACCTCAGCTCCAGCCAAGCTGCAGGGGATCAGAATCATTCCCAAATGCCTCTGTCTTATGCTGCTCAGCTAGTGGAATGGAAAAATAAAAAGGAAGGGGGGAAAAAATCACATATATGTGTGTATATACAGACATACATATAATATATATGTGTGTGTATACCCACCCAGGACAAAACCCATGATTGAAATGGCCTCATGTTCCAGGAATAGGAAGTGCCCGCTGGTGTCAAAAAACAGGGGAAATCAGAACGTGCTGAGAAGAACCAGGAGCATGACCAGCAAGGAATCCAGCTGACAAATTACATTGAGAAAAGATCCTTTCAAGCACAGGAGGCAGTAAGTTGCAGTTCTGATTGAATAGACTTGTTAATAAAAATACATTGAACAAAAAAATGAAATGGAGAGCAAATCCTTTCAAATAAGATTTCAGTCCTGCCTTAAGTCCTTGGCTTTATTTACGAGTTCWGCTGTCCGCGCTCTCTCTACAGGTCTGTAGGAGAATAGAACAGAGATGGAAACACACTGAAACATCTCATGTCCCAGTCGGACACACAGAGTCTCAGCACCAAAATTGCACCTCCTCAAACCTTGCTGTGTTCCAAACCACCAGCCCTGGCGTGGGCATCTCTAAAAGCCACCCAGCCTGCCTGCCCTTGCTTAGTATTGCTCCACTTTTGCTGCYGCCTTTGATGCAGAAACATGGTGAGAACCACTAGAAGGCCTGCAAGTTGTTTAAAGGAGTCTCTCCTGTACTTGCCACCCCCTGAAGTTAAAATATAATGAGAGCCATAAATAATAAATAAATTGACAATTCTTTTTCATGTCTGCAGAGAGCCTATTCTCTACAACCTCAAGGCTACGCAGCTTTTAGAATTTTTAATGGCAGTGGAGTGAGGGGAGATAGAGAGTTTTTCGTCTTGATTTTTAAAGATAAACACAGAATTCCTGGTTTTGAAGCTTTAAGAAAAATATCAAAGAAATGAGATCTGGTTGGAAAAAATCATCTCTTTCGATCCAGTGCTGCTCCCAGGAAGACGGGAGGAAAGCAGAACAACTTTTGCTTGTAACAGTCTAAGAAAAATATTTATACCCACCAGATAGATTTTTTTTTAATGACTTCATATACAGCAATTTGAACAAATTCCTTACATGCAACAAGGTGTTTGGAAATAAAAGCAATATCTAACAGACATATAGAGAGGAAGAGTGAATAGGGAAAGAGGAAACCGATATGTATTTATTATCATGTAAGTTTGGTTCTTTCTATGGTGGGGAAATGGAGCTAAGATCATTGAATTCAGTACGCAGGGCAAAAGAGCAGGAAAACTCATGTGCTCATACCTGAAAGAGGTGATATTAGGGCAATTCAAGTAAAATGAAACTGGCAAATGGGAACTCCGATATTCACCTCTTGGTTCTGACTCAGTAAAGTCTGCTCTGTCTGTTTTTTCCTTAATGATGGGTGGAGAGAAGGGGTATCCTGAAATTTTCATACAATAGGATAAAGGAAGGCAAATAGGAATGGGGGAAGGGAAAAAAAAAAAGCTTAAGAATTGGAAGGAAATCAATTTTCACTTGATCTGGTGCACAGAACTCCAGCTTTGCAGTATCTCTTTACTTCCACCAGTCCCCTGCTCTCCCCAGAGGCTGAGTCAAATGTACAGGAGACCTGTGTTAGTAGTTAACTCTCTGGTCAGTTACTGAAGTTCAGCAGTGGTTTTGCTTTTGTTTTCCCAAGCACCAGAACAACACAGCTAATCCTGCAGAATAATGTTAACATAATCAATGTGATTATGCCCATGGGAGAACGTCAGCCACTGCAGATCAAAATTGTCAAAAGTATCCAGAACAAAATGCAGTAGCAATCTTTGCACTGAACGTATATTTGGTTTGGTTTTGTTCTTTAAGTATTTTCTATTTTTTCTTCCCTCTACTCAATAAAAAAGAAACAGCCACTGCAGAATTTCTGAGCATTTCCCAAGAAAGACATTCTGGTATTAAGGCCAAAAACTAGGGAGAAACCCTACCTTAGGTACCTGAAGTTTGGAAAATGTACCTGGAGCTGGGGTGAGGCTTCCTTTTCAGAGGGCAGACACTAGCATTTCTTCACTCTTGAAAAGGCTCAAAACAAACACTGAAAAAGCGGAATATCTGAGATCTTGAAAACACTTCCCATACAACTCTAATTAAGTGGTTCTTCTAGTGCTCCCACAGCCATACCTGAATAAGAACTTGAGTCCTGTACGCATATCCTGAGATTCTATTTTTGGAATGAATAATTTCCTGCTAATTTGGGAAAAACCTGGAGTTTGCTTTTGAAAGTGCAGCATTTTCTTTCTTGAGTACTACAGATCACAGCAGCTAGCAGGGGGCATCTGTCTCGGAGAGCGCTGTGTCTGCACTCAGGGCTGCAAGGTACATTCTTGCCGTGTGAGCATCGCTCTGATATCTCCTGTCAGCCACCCTGTTTGCAGCTGCAGTGGCAGGGAACCTTCAGTTCAAATTCCCCTTCTGAGGGTCAGTGTTTCCTCTTCTCCACAACCAACTCCTTCAGTATTTCTTTCCTTGTTTTTATCTCCCAATACTTCTAAAAGCTCTGAGATGATCCCCAGGGCCATACAAGAAAATAGAAATTGAATGAAGATTAAAATGCTGATCTAGAGCTGCTAATATCCCTCAGGAGTTATACAAACATCCACTTGGAATGAGTCCCATCTGGATAACAGTGAGAAATGTTCAAGAACAAACTTGAAGGTTAGTTAACATGTTAGCTTTCCCCAGATCTCACATTCTCTTTGACTTTCATCCCTTATTTCTTCTGAGAAGCTCTGGTGGTCATCACCAAAATTTGGCCAGATTAGAGCTGCCCCTGCTCTGTGGAGTTACATGGGCCACTACTTGGTTGGGAAAACCTGGATGTTTTTCCAAAATATGTCACTGTCTCACACACGACTTGGGCAAAGCCCCTTTACCTGCTCAGACATCCACCTAGGGATGTCCAAGTGAAGAGAAAAGAATCTCACTCATCAGTTCATCACCCTTTTAGGAAGATCTCAGATGAGGAAATTTCCTGATAGGTGGATGCATAGTGCATTTCTGCCCTACTCTCCGGCTGATTCCCCCAGAGCTTTGCTTTATACAAGGCACAATACTTCTTAACTCCCTTCTCCTTCTGTATTTCAGCCTCTCTCCTTGCTGCTATTCATCAGTGTTTGCAGGCGATTAGCTATTTACTTCACCCAGTTCATCAAGTTCTCCCTTAATGCCTTTGTTTTTGTCATAGATTTTTATGTGTGTGTGCACATGTCAAATCTAGGCAGGAATGTGTTTGAACATTTAGCCAGATTAGCTTGGGTTTTATTTATTCTTGCTGGGACTTGCACTCCAGCCCTGGGCTGACATTATATTAATTGTTTCTGTTTCATTATCCTTACTTACAAGGAAGAGGAGGGGGATTTGGGCAAAGAAGAAAGTCTCATATGCCTTGCAAATATGTTTTATCTCCCCTTTGATTCCTCACCAGCTTGTTCCAGCACTGACATCCTCTTTGAGTTACTAACAGTAATGCTTCTTGCTTCTCCACAACTCCATCCCCCCCTGGACTCTAATTTTTTGCTCTGTCCTTCTCCTTTGGCACTGAAGACACTACATTTCTCCTCCTCTCACTAACCTGGCTGTTCCTCTTAACCTCTACACTGTGGGCTGGGTACTTCTCATCTCACATCTTGCTAAACTCCTTTCTCCTGCATTGAAGCCTCCTGAGCCTTTTTGGTCCTCTCCAGGTTGCTCTTCTTGCTGTTTATCCCATGTCCTCCCCACATATGTCAATGCAGTCTCAGATCACCCAGCTTCCAGCACTAYCTGCTTGCACCCTGCTGCACACACAGCAGGTACCGGCCAGGACTCTGCATTCCCTCTGGCTACACAGACATAACATGCCCATAACCAGCCCTAGCTAAGTCACAGCAATTAATTCAGGGTAAGTTAGGGATGCAGTCTACAAGGGGGATGATTTGGAGCCCGAAATATACTTGAGCTCATGGGAGGAGAGACAGATGCAATTGCACAATAAATGGAGTGTGAAGTGATTTCAAACCCATCACTTCCCTGTGCCCCCTTGAGACCAAAGACCCTCATTGCTGGTTATCAGCAGCTCACTGCAGCAAGCAGTTCTAGGTTTGCTTTGAAAACAGGGTTGCAAGATCTTTCCTGTCTGCTCACACTACTCTTAGGGTTTTTTTTGCTGACACATCTGAGACCCAGCTGCTTCTGCAGGCACCCCGCACACTGTAGATGCAGAGCCTTGGTCACTAACCTGCAACACCAGTGCTCACAGCAACAGCACAAAGTCCAACAGCTCTCTGCATTGGAAAGGGACACGGACTGTGCCTCTGCTCCCTTCCTCTCAAGGACAGGCAACAGCCCTTAAACCCTAGGTCTACTCACAAATACTACTTTTTAATGGGGTCAGGGTGGTTGCGGTTGTGAAGCTGCAATGGGGCATCACTGTCCATGGCTTATTGGCTTACTTCTTTCTGCCTTGCAGCTTTGTGGAGCAATATATGGAGCAGTTACCAGGTGCCTCTGGCTGCCTTTGTGGCTGGCAGGTTATTTATATGCAAATTCCTCACCAGTGGTGGATGCTTATAAACATGATAACAAAACCTTCTGTGGAGATGGGACACGGATGAGGCGTGCAAGGGCCTTTTGATCCAGCCAGAAGAGTTCATATAGGATTATCCACATTCAATTAGATAGCTTCAAACAGAGAGATAGCCACTCTGCTGACACACAGATTGCTAAACTGGGATCATGTCTGAGAGCTGGGAAAGGCACAGGAGAAATACCTTGGGAAATGTATTTAGCCACAAATAGGCTGCATTGAAACACCAGCTCATGCCCACCTCGAGGTCAGCAGTACAGCTTTCCTATTACAGTAACTAAAATGGTAGCATTCAGATTCCTGCTCTGTTTCTCGTGTGTCTGCAGAAACTCCTTAACTCCTGATACACTCAGACAGAGGGCCACAATGAGATTGCAGAGCCCTTCCTGTCCTATCCAGGTATAGATTTCCCTCACTTCTATTTCAAATGCAATATCCCGTGTTGCTTTTCTTTTCTAAAAATCTACACAAGGACCAAAGAAACATCTTCTCAGTGGCTTTACCTTTGCCTCCTGTGAGGAAATGTGTTTCCCTACCTTCTGAGACCCTTGTTTGAAACAGGGGACACTATTTAGCTGACTGGATTTCCTCTCAAATCTCCCCAGGCCTCTGCAGTCTGGTCATGGCCATGCTCAGCAAGACTAGCTCAAGTCCTCTCTTTGCACCTTTGCAAAATAAGCTCCAATTATCTCAGATGTAGATGTTTTGAGACCTTAAATGAAATGTATTAGAGTGGCTTTAAGAACAGTAGATTCAGACATCTGAAGAGGCCATACTTGTCATGGAAAAAAAAAAATCCTACACAGCACAGTCTATAATTTCTGTGAGAGCAAAATTATATCATCGTAAAAAGCCCCATAATCTTGAGCTTAAAACAGAGAGGTCCTAGATACTTAACRAGTCCTCTCAAGTTGTCTTACTGCCAGGAGTAGCATCTGAACACCCTGCTCACAAGCTGGCACTAGCACTAAATGTTGGGTACTTTCCTACACACAGAGGTTGTTAGCATCCTAATGTTTTGTTTTAGGAGCAGAGGAATTGAGAGGGAAAGGACAAACTTKCCAGGAGGGGCCTTCCTGAAATCCCCCTATGATGAGTGTCATCCAATTCCTTGAAATGTAGAGCTGCTGTTAAGCTAACAGATGCAAGAAGAGGCATTCACTTCACTTGACTTCCATGCCGGTGCACAGACCCACCCATGACCTCCCATGGCTCTGAAGAGGAGGCGCTGATGGCSATAGCCATGTCAGCTGCTCCATCAAGCATGCCAGTTCCTTCCTCCACTCTCCCAAGAGGAAGACTGGAGGCACAGTATGTCACAAGTGGTGTAAACCTCTGTGACAAACCCTGTCAGCTCCTGCTTGCCCTGTCTTGACAATKTTAGGAAGTTTGGAGGCTTCACAGAGCCTCAGGCATGTAGACTTGTCTTCCCTTTCAGTACCTGCCATTACTATCTAAACAGAGAAGGAAAAAGAAAGGAATAAGGAGAGAAAAAAATACTACAGGAAGGAGAGATCAGCAGAAGAGTTCAAAACAACATAGGTACCTAGCAGACACTTAGCCAAAACTGAGCTTAGAAACACACCATTCTTCTTTCCTCGTGGCTACTAAAAGTACCATCTCATCGGCGGAACAAAACCTGCAGTTACATTCTTCCAATAACCTCTTGCTAACTCATTCTCCCTCCTCTTCAGTTGGCCAAGGAGAGGTGCCCTATGCAGTACTGTGATAGACTTGAGACCTGATTTACCTCCTGCTTATGCCAAATCAGCAGCTGCCTGATCCTGGTGAGCTCAGCTGCACTGACATTGCTGCTGTCTTCTCCTGCTCCCCCAAATAGCTGCTCCTCTTTGAACTGCACACTCCGACATCCGGACCCAGGGCTTCTCAGCTCTGCCAGCTGGCTGTATCCCTGACATTGGCCTTGGGAACAAAGTTGCTACCTGCCAATTTTTGTCTCATGATGGTGAGACACTGGCAAACACCAATCCGCATCAAAGCTGCTGATATCAAAAAGTGAACTGCTGCAGGACCTGCCCATCCTCCTGAAACTCTRTTTTCATTTGTTTTTTTTTATTAAAAATGGGAGTGTTGTTGCAAAGTTAGCCCCCAGTCAGGCTGAGGCGGGAGACTGTTTTGGTTTAATAATTTCCTGTCCTCTCTGTCAGGACAAACTCTGTCCTTGGCCTGTCCTCTGAGTTATTGATATGACTTCAAAAATCAAATCTTAAGACTTATTATATAATTTGTTTGACATTGAGGGCTTTCTCACGGTCAGGCAAAGTGATCTGCAAACATGCACAAATCCATAGCCTTGTTCCCCTTTAAAGCTCTCTTGAAAACAAATTGCAACAAAACAAAACATAACCAATAAAATGATCAAAACAACAACAACAAAAAGAAATACTTAGAACAAGCAGCTTTACCTGGGTCCTATATCTGTTGCTGGTCATGATAAACCATCTTTGCTTCTTGCTTCTCTTCTGGCTCTCTATTTACTCTTTATGTCTTGACATGTTTAATTTTAAGCTGTCTGAGGAAAGGATAATCTCTCTCCTGAGTGCTTGTACCTCTCCCAGCAYTGGAGAGACTGAGTTGTGCCTGAAGTTCCTAGGAAGAACAACTTTTTTTTTTTTTCCTTTAGGAATTAACCTAACTGTAATAACAAACCAAATGATAGTGAGGTATAAATAGGCTCGGTTTTCTGCATTTACTTCCGGACATCCTTTTTATCCTTTCCTCATCAGAACTAAGAGTGTGCTTTAGGGGTTCTGCTGAAGGTCAAGGCTGCTTTAATGTGAGAGCAGGCTCCTTATGAGTATGCAAATAATTAAGGAATTGCTAATTTGACACACATGTTAGTAAAAAAAACTGGGTGGAGGGAGGGGGGGATCTGGGTGCAGGAGACATCCTTTATGATTTRGAAAGTTCCTGCATCTTCAGCCCATGCCCTTCCTGAAAGGAGAGATTTGTCCTGGCAGACAGTGTCTCAGGGAGCTAGATGGGAGCTTCTTGCAGACACCTTTAGCTGCTCATTACTTTAGAGTGATATGGGAACAGAGAGCTGGGTGGCACAAGGGGACAGTGAGCAGGGTGGACGGGCTGCCTGGTTCTGAACCTGAGCCTCCTCCCTGCCTGTGCTACAAATCAGASCTGGACACCTTTGGCGTGAGCAGGGGAGAGGGACAACACTGGTTCTAGCAGCAGGAGACACCTCTCTCCGAGGRAGCTACAGCAGGGCATAACCAGCGAGAGGGAGCAGCAAATGAGCCTGACTAGATCCATTTGCTACCCTGGTGTGTGACTTCCCCTGCAGAGATGGGGACTGCSATCTCTGGGGGAACCTGTCAGATAACACTAGGAGCTACATAKGGATTTATGCTGGCAGGGGCACAGTATTTCACTTTGATGACACTTGCTTTCTTAATGTTTTAATCATGCTGTTGACCTTGAGACTTGAGAGATACAGACGGCTGCCACCCTTCCCACTGTGCCTTCCCTTGATGATGCCAAGCCCTGCAGCGAGTGCCATGCTGACTGTGCTTGGCACAGCACGTACAGCTCTGAAGTTTTCCCAGCTCATGCGTCATCCTGCACATCAGGCTGGAGACCAAGGGACAAATCCATTCTCTTCCCCAGTGTTTGATGGTGTCCCTATCTCAAAAGAGAAACAAGGGAAAAACGAGCAGGAAATTTAAGGTCAAGGCAGCCAGGGCTTCTGGCTGCTGAATTTATTTCCACATGCCCTAAACTGCAGATTGTTAGATGCCATAAGAGCRGATTTCCAGCCAGTCCCACATCACATTCTTATGAGTAACTAGTAAAAAAAAGGCATCAGAGGAAGACAGGAAACCTTGAACATTCATCCTCTGTTCAAGATGCATAAGATCATTTATTGCCTAACAAACTCTCTGCTATTTCAGTAACTTAGGACATCTTGGATGTCCTTGATCTATTTTGCTCTCTTCCCTCAGGTTGCTGTAACTTGGGAGCTTTTGGTCTTTTGTCGTGAAAGTTTAAAGTGTATTATCCTAGGATGTGAGTATCCTCAGGGAATGTTTCCAAGGCTTGTTGTGTATAGAGGCAAGATTGTGAAGATGCTTGTCAAGACCTCTATTACTGACTGTATAGTTGCAAGGGGCTAGATTTGACTGTGTCCAGCTCTGTGTCCTTTCTTATACTGGTGTTAACTAAAAATTAACATTGATCATATCCAGTTGGCCTCTTCATTAAACCCATTCTGTTCACAAAAGTAATCAGACTATCTCAGACAGACATTCAAACAGCTATGAAATAGGAATTTGTTCCATAATAAAGGCAGAAACCTATTTAATACCTTTCCTAATTATTCTGTTATTCAACAAGCATAAAGATGCATGCGACAATGGACCGAGACCTCCAAGTCCAATTTGCAGTGTAATGAATTCCTTTTTTGGCAGAAAAAGGAAAGCAAAACAGGGAGAGTTGGATGTGAAATAATGAATTTTTCTTTGATTTTAGGAGAGAAATATATGCACTCCAGGAAAGTTGGGAAAGCTCATTCAGGTTGAACTCAGTGCATGGTGCAGCAGGAGGGACAGAGATGAAGGCCACATGCAGGCAGTGCTGCAGGACTGATCAACAGGTTGTGCACAGTGAGCCCCAAGAAAGGGGTATTACTGAGCAAGCTAGAACGCATTGTCGAGACATCCTGAACCACTCTTCAGCCTCACTCTTGCAAGTGGACTGGACCCAGCTCTGCAAGACAGAGGATTGCAGCCAGGTATCTGGTCCCCCGCAGGAGACAGGGCAATAAATCCTTCCTACCACTGACTGTTCTGCATTTCATGGGATCATTTTGACAGGGAGAGAATTGAATACTGTCACTAACAGGCAGGGAAAAAATTATAAGGTTCATTTAGAAGGCAGTAAAGAGGGGATTTTCAATTTCCTTTTAAAATCACAACATAATAATTCTTTCAAAGTGGATTTGATGGGAAAGCTGGAGTCAAAGAGGACTAAGAGCACTTCAGTATCTAGCTGTGCAATCGGGATGGGTGTCTGCTCTGGCTGAGCAATTGTGAGACCCCAGAGGCAGAAGAGAACTTTGGGGAAATATTGGCTTTGTGCATGTTTTGACATCTACAAATTCCAGCTAAAAATATAGCCTTTTTGCACTGAAACACTTGACAAATGGATAAGGAAGAGAGTCCCTTCCTTCAAGGAATTTCTATCAGCCTAAGGAAAGCAGGAGTTCATATATAAGGGCTGAGAGTTAGATATTAGATGACATGACTAGGCCATGGAGATCATCTGTGGCAGTGCCAAGAACAGATCCCACAATGGGCCCAAGTTAAGTGTGAATGTAAAATTCATATTGCATTTTTGAGATATCTGTTTTATAAAAGCTTGTGCATGTGTGCATGCTCACATAGACAGACAGTAAGGAAGATATGTGTGACAGCATAAAAGGCATGAAATTCTGTCATCAGTTCCTGTTGGTSACTCAAATGAAATGACTGGGATTTCCAGGACATTTCTGAAAAGATAGAGCAGATATTATGAATGTACACAAGCAGTGATACAGGCCTGTGAATCAGCATAGATTGGTGTGCAAGAATRAAGGCAGGTCTCCTCAAGAGGGCATGAACACATGCACATACCAGAGCTACAGAGCCACCCATGGAGTAGGCACATAAGCAAAGTATGGTTTTGTATAATGCTAAGCAAAGTAATCACAGGCTTTCTCAGTTAACACTGATTTCCTGTTCTTTTTTGCCATCACCTTTTAAATAGCTTCAYGCTGGCCTTGGCTGGATATAGAGGGAAATGACTGATGCAATCAACTTATACATAATTAGTGACCAAAGCAATAAGGGTTGTTTCCTGGTGTTTTACTGGGATGTAATAATGATTCATACATCATACATAAATAGAAATACAAGCATACATATTTTTTACATACATATATTTGTAGTTATTCCCACAGGTTTGTGATTACAAGAGCTGTGAGAGTAAAGACTCTGTTTTGCTGCTGTATTCGGGGTTGTGAGGGGATGCCAAGGGCTGATTGCTCTGACAATGCAACATTTCCTTTTTGAATCACACAGGCCACACAAAAACATATGAACTGTTACTGAAATTCATTGTGCCTTTCCCAATTCCCCTCACCCTGGTAATAGGGACAAGGCTTCATTTGCTAAAGCCGAGTGATGTCAGAGAGATCAATGGTTTAATGATTAATTATGTGAAGCTCAGTAACTGATTCACAATCTTTTATCTGAATTACTCTATTGATCTGTAGAAAAAAAATAGTTTGCAATTAAAAAATGAGACAATTAAGTGCTATGCAATTAGCACTAAGCCTCAACAAACATGACTTAAAGACAAAGGGTACAACTCAGTAATCAGCTTTTATTCTTATTTTTAGAAGGATATAAACCCTTATTCTTCAGTGATCACGCCAACCTCTAATTGGTGTGTGCTAGGAAGAAGCTTCTCCAATGGGAAAATGGGTCTTCTGATTATCTGCTTGAGATTTCCTTTCCAGCATCTGGAGCCATTTACTGTGGGAGAGAGATACTATTCTGGTAGGTCAATAGCTTGATCCTCCAAGATTATTTCTCTGGGACAATAGCCAGGCTTGAATACCAATTATACCATTAGTAATCTCAAACAACTCCACTGACTTTAATAGGAATGATTACATTTGGAATAATATTATACAGTAGGCTTATGCAGCCTGAAACATACACAGAAGGTAGTACATTTTGGTCCAAACTAGGAGGACCTCTAAACCAGCACAGCTGAGAAGAGTATGGATGTTTAGGACTATTCAGTCCAGAGAATGGAGAGGACTTGGAAGGCATTTTTGAGGTATTGTGGAAAGAACACTCCTTCCTAGAAAACCCAGTTTCATGTAGATGTTTCCATAAATCTCTGCAGTGGGCAATATCATTAAGAATTTGTGAAAGGGAAAGAAAGAGTAAGGAAAAGGGGAAGGGAAATCAGATTTATTGCTTTGAAAATAAGCACAACAGACCAATAAACCCAAAGATAACAGGAAATCAGTTCTAGCTAGGATTATCTTTTGGAAGCCGTGACAGATTAAAGCATCTAAAGAATATGGGCCAAATTATATATAGGCCTTTATTTCCAACTCTGAGTTTGATAGCTTATTGTTAGACAATCTGTGGCCATAGGTCACTCTTTGAAATCTTCATTTATGTCAGGCAATGTCACACATCATTGATTTCAATTGAGGAGATGCTTATTAATAAGATTTAGTGTATTGGATTCTAAGACTAGCACAAAGGCCATTTTTGAATCTGTGTCATCATAATGATCCTGGAAGCTGGAATAACTCATCGCATCACTGTGCAATTTTCATTAGATGCATGCCACAATTTTCAATGTTAACATTTTGCTTAGGACATTAGGGCTCTCCTGCAGATCTAAGAGCCTGAGACCAATGTGGAAAATGCTGCGAAGCTTGCAGGGACTTCTGTATTAGAACAGATTAAAAATATTAAGACTAGATTAGTTTAGGAAGGAGATAAATAGAAGGTGACATGACAGAGGCATGCAAGATAATAAATGCCACAGAGAAGATAAGCTGCAGGCTCTCTGTTTTACTTTTCATAATACAAGAATCCAATTAAATTAAAAGGCTATTCATTTTAAAGTGATAAAAGGAAGTACTCTTATTCACATGCAGTGCAAGTTATTACTGAGGCAGAGAAGTTAAGGATTGCCCCAAAAGAGAGAGCATCTATAGAGGCAGAATAAGTATCTACCTTCACATCTTCAGAACAGAAAATATAGAGTGGATATAGACTGTTATGCGCTAGCATATAAATCAAGCACAAAGGATTGGCCCGAAATCTTCCTTTTACTTCAGATGAACTTGTTCCTGCAATAGTTGCTTGGAGATGGACAGGAATATCCTCATATAATTTAATCACTGACCTTACTAGGAATGAAAAACATCCTGTATGAAATTGTAGTTCTGGCTTAAGCGGCTGCAGAACCTGGAGAAAAGTAACCATCATTTAAACAGAGGTGGTGACAGCAATGAAGAAAAAATACCCCTAATACCCTTCTTGAAAGAAAAATTTCAGACTCAGAGAAATGATAGCATCTTAGGCATTTTTTTCTAGAGAAAAAAAAAAAAGAATGATTTTAATAAATTACATGCCCAATTTCAAAGCAAAATGTTAGGGGGCATCTTGATGCAAGATGTATACAAGAAAAAATAACCAGTTAGCAAGCTTATAATACCTTGTCTGTCGTATCCTTGGGATATCCAGTGTGGAGTCACCAATACACCAACTCCAATAATAACGTAATATTATTTCAGCATAGTCATTGTTATTTATTTGCATGGCAGCAAATGCCAACCAGATTAGGCTCCTGTTATGCTAGGAATTGTGTATACACATGGTAAGATAAGTGCTGCTAAAAGCACTTGTGATCTCAATTCAAATTAAGCACAACAGGTAAAAGCAACACATTTAGGCAATGAAAGAAAATGGATAAGAGCTCTGTAAATAAGAAGTGCCCAGAAGCTCTTCATGTTTCTTTTCTGTAAGAATAGTACTAAATGAATTTCCTGGAAAAGGGGTCTTAGACGCTGTATTCTTTAAGTGAATACATCACTGGGAAACAAATTCTAATTTTTATAATCGTAAACATTTATACTGGAAATCTGAGGCTATGGTTTATGCTTATCCAGTCAAGGATTTAAAATAYGTTGTGAAATCACAGACATGACTCAAAGCTGCTCCAAATACACTTCCCAGACACCCATAAATGACAATTYTTAGGCCAAAATTTATCAGTAGAGATTATTTTTGAATATCATATTTCTAATAAACATGTTCCAGAAAGGTGAAGTCAGGGGTATTTACAGAAAGCAAAGTGGATGAAATCATCGCCAAAAAATCATTTCGAATAAAATGAACATGAGGATGTTGAACAGGACTCTCTTCCCTCTGAAAATGTCATTCTTTCAAAGTATGTGTTGAAATTGTATTATTTTTGTTGGGGGGAATAAAAGGATATTTAGAATGAGATGTCTTGGTCTGGCATTTTTAGAAAAACATGGGCTGAGAGCTATGAAAATTCATGTCTGGAACAGTGTTTTTCCCTAAAACTGGCCACAGAATACAATCAATTTTGCAATGGATTTTCCAACATCCTTTTTTTTTTTTTTTTTTTTTTTTTTTCCCCTCTCTCTCCTCTCTCCTAGAAAAGAGAACAATTTTCAAACATATCTTCCTTTCTCCTTCCTATTCTGAAGTTTGGGTAAATTATAGCATTTCAAAACAATAAAATCAAATCTGCTTGTTGCAGGCCTGGCTAGATGACTTAACTTGCTTGTGCTAGATGCCTCGTGCAAATTTCAGAAGTTTGTAACAGACCCCTTACCACTTACTCAAGGCATATAAATGCTACAAAACTAGATCATTTCTCCTGCTGGGGAGCTTATTTGGCCAAAGGGTTTTGATGTTCTTTGGTACAATGGAGAGAAACTTATTTAGCTCGGTCCCCACTATTAAAGACTTGTGACTGAGGGACATCCCACACGCAGCATTTTTTGCTTTTTACCCCATTTATGAGCTTCTCTCTCCAGCTCTCCCAACCATTAGCTGCTAGCGTCCATGGTATGTGGATGCACAGTCACCTAGAGCCCATGGAGGGAAGTTTTGACAAAGCTCTGTAAGACAAGGCACTCTAGAAGCGACAAAAATGTTAAACCCCACTGAGCTAAATGCAACACGAAAAGGGCAAAGCTAAATCAGCTCAGTAGACCTGGCTCCCCTCTGAGCTGCTCTGAGTACACTGCCCAGGCACAGACATCAGGGCTTGCCTGCTCTTACTGCTCTGTTTTGAACAACAGGACTTCAAATTCAGCACTTGGGGGACAGAGGGAAAAGGTCTATGGCCGATGACATTTCTTGTTTCTGATCCCATTTGGGGCCATCAAGAGCTCGCCTRGCATCTCTGAACACAGCGTCTGTTGGGAAGGTGTCATATCGACAACAAACAAGGTCATTCCTAAGTGACTCAACTGTACCAAGAACTCGGGAAGGAAAACCTCCTCTGCCTTTACTCTGCACATCTAGATCAAAATATAGAGCTGATGGTATAAAAGCAAGGGTGCTTGGTGCCATACTTCTTGCTCTTTATTGCACAAGCAACATTTAAGCACTAACCTTTAAACACAAGCAACTGCTTTGACCCATGAAACCCACAAGTCATTTATAGCAGAGGGAGGAGGAGAATATTTCATGTACAGGTTTACAGGGACAGCAGACCTCTGCAAAGATGTGCTTAAACACCTGCACAGTTCACTGCAGCATCCCTGCCAAAAGATAAGCTTAGGTCTGCATCCAGCCCTCCTTTTATCACACTCTTTTGCATTTACACTAGGACAAATAAGAATCAAATTGAATTGTTCTAGGTGTGTGCTCATTGTAAACCATAACCAGAGAATTTCTTTGGGGAGTCAAGCCAAAACACAAGTAGGATTGATGAACATATTTGGACTTTACGTCAGTCAAAATAAGAAYGTCTGCGAAATGCTATTTTGCCATGTTTTAATTTCTCTTAAGTACAAAAATGCAGTTTTAAATTAAACCCACTTGTCAAACCTGGGTCATGGAAAGAGCATGTGGAGCGCACACCATCAGACCAGGATTTCCTTTGGAACTTCTTTCTCTGCTCCCCTGGATGGGTAAGCCATTTTCTCCTTTCCCACCTCTGCTCTCCACGTTGCGTACAGAGATTACAGCTCTTGGTTCAGCGAGAGCTGGAGAGAGATAAAAAGAAATATTAAGCCTAAATGTTGCAGAAGAAAAGCAGAAGTCTGGCATCCATCAAGTAAAGCGTTCCCTGAGGGCCTGGTGCGTGCATGCGTGTCTGTGAGCGGGGATTTGTAAACATGGTGAGGAACGGGCCTGACTGACAGCAGCCACTCAAAGACTGCACAGCAGGCTCAGCACAGAGGGGCAGCCAAGACGACTACYTGGCAGTGGCTGGTGCACAGCACTACGTAAGGAAACAGTAGCAGAGGTGTGAATCCCACCTACACAGCACCAGAAAGCTGCTCATCTCCTCGCAAAATAGGCTCTAAATGCTGTGAATCGCTCAATKCCCAGTTTATTTCTGAAAGTTATTCAAGAGAGGGAGAACAACAAAAAAGCATCTGTGCTGGCAAGACATACTGGGACCAGRCATTGAACATTATTCTAGTACAGTATAAACTCCCTACAGGCACCCCATTCTTGCAAATCACAAGAATCTTCGCACAACTGAAGGGAGGGATATAAAAGCATTTTGCAACACCTTAGTTGCTGTGCTTTTCCCCAACAGSTGCCTGAGCCAGGTTTGTAACTACCTAGAGGTCACAGCTGACTAGCTGCCCTACCAGAACCAGCACATAGCACAGTAGCTAAACAAGGGGATGCACCATGTTTTGCTGGATCACAGACTCGTTTCTGATCTCTTCACCTATCAGAAAAACTTTGGCAAATCTTCCCCTTTAGGGGATTATTTCTAGAGTTGTCTARGCAGTTTCCACCACAAAAGCGTGCAAAGGAAGTGAAGTAGCCCTTCAGGTGGAAAACACTCAAATTGAATATTTTCATTTTGATTCTCTCATCTCAGATGTTTCTCTAGGACTGTTCTCCCGAGGCCAAAAAGATCTTTATTTTGACTTTTCCTTTTGATTCAAGGCTTTTTCTTATTCTTCTCAATTGTACGGAATGTTTCACAGGATTTGATTTATTTTTTTCCCAGCTTGCTCAAATGACACAAGAAAAAAGAAATCACAGAAAGTTCCCTGTTAGTTCATCCCGAGACTGATATAGGATATCACTTGGGCTTATAGTGTAAGAGCAGCTCTTCTAGGACAAATAAACATTAACCTAGCCTACTCCTATTCTCCAAGGGTGATCAGTGGCAGGTGTCTGGGGAAGAATTCAAATGGTCGGACCCTGTTCACACCACTGCCCTGGGAGCTGAATCTGGGCATACATTAGCTTTTGGAWTGGTCTCACAAAACTGAGTTGTTGCTGCCTGGCCCCTCAGGGGATCTGCAGGAAGAGAGCAGAACATTGCCCTCCACAAAAAGATCCCTCACCTAAAACATTATTTTTTCATTATTCCCTGTTCTCAACCCTGACAGCTTCATTGCATTTGGACTTAGAACAGTCTCCACTCAATCCAAAAAAATAAAAAAGGTACAGCATATAGCCTATGAGGACCCAACCACCAAGCAGGATATATCATAAGAAAAACAGGTAGGGAATATTATCAAAATTCAAGACACTAAAACAGGCAAAAAAATTCCAGTCAGAAGGCATAAGTAGCCAGTAGCCAGAAAATTTGGCTTTCTTTCTCTTTCAAGCCCTGTAAAATCACACTGCTGCAATATGTTCTAGAAAACAGAGGATTTTTCATAAAATACTTCAGTTGTCCATTCCCTTCCTTTGTGCAGTGGGAAGAGAGGACTTCAAAGTGGACTGAAAAGCCAACTGGGTTTGTAGAAGGCTTTGAGACCCTGGGAAGTGATAAGCTACATACGACAAGATGAAAAGTCCTATCACTTTACTTGAGGCTTCAAAGGCAGCTGGAGCGGGGCATGAACATCTTCATCCCCCTGTCAGACAGTAAGGAAACTGACTCTAAAACTCAGCCTGACACCAAAGAAATGGTAGTGGTGACCTCTCTGTTTTCCTGTTGCTCATTTCAGTCCATCATTGTCACTGGAGCTGTCTGCTGCCTTCCTGGCCTGTCTGCAGTAATACTGGTTGCAGGCTCAAAAGCAGCCCTGTCACCCATCAAGGGTGAGAATTTCAGATGTCAGGGACTTGGATTTTGATGTTACAAACTCTTTTCCTGCTGTCCTTTTCAAGTGACTTTCAGTTGTCCAGCAGATCTCTTTCTCCAYCCACTTCCAACACTATCAGAAGCTATTGCTCGAGATATTTTTTTCTTTTTCTTTGGTAGAAAGAAAGAAATTACCTTCTTTCTTCCCATCTCCAAGGCTCCAGTACAGTTTAATTAGGCTCATGGCTCATTCTGCACCTGTCTGGATGACACATGAAGTAAATTAATGGGACCAACAATCACTTCAAACTTCCATGTGKCCTGTGAGAGTCTCCAATTACTTCCACTATTGGGCCATGTCAGTAGAAAGAATAAAGGGCTTTTAATTATTGACCCTACTGTGCTGTGCAAAGGCAAGAAGATGGATATTTGGCTGTACCATATGATTAGCATGGATCCTGATAGGAGTGTTCAGATGGCAATACAGTAAGAGTTGTCAGCAGCAAAGAAATTCTGAGTGCTGAAAGTTCCAGAAGCCCAAAAAAATCACAGGTCACTCCTCCTCCCCCCAAAAAAGTATTTGTCATTTCTCTGTTAATGCAGGTTTGTATTCCTGTCAAACAAGAGATGGCTCTCAGGTTTAGCTATAGCCAGACTAGCTATTCCTCAGCAAGGGCAGCATCATATTTTGCAAGAAACCCATGAAACCAGGTCTTCATGGACTGGTATTGAATACCTGCTGCTGTCATGTTTCACATCTCCCAGCAATGCATTGCAGTCAATTAAGATAGAAAGTGCGTGGGCTGAACCATATGGAAGAATGCTAACAATTTAGGGAGATATGAAACATTTATTTGGAATTGCAATTAGTCAGAAGTCAACTTCTTCTATTATTTTTGCAGGAAGAATCTGTGATTTCAATCAGGAGAAAATAAAGTGAAAGGAAGCCTCTTATTCTGTTCCTTCTTCCTATTTCAGCTCATTTCCTTACCTCATTTCCTAATATCACACACAGCATCCAGCTTCCTCAACAGCTGTTGGGGCATTTAAAACCGAGACCCCCCAATAGACACTGCAGCTACAAAATAGCTAGATGAGGAAGAAAACTTAATCTGGCCCATGCAGACTTTCACAGGCTGCAAAATAAATAGCCCTTTTTCTTTACTATGGTATTCTGCAGCTCTAGCTCTGGCCACCATCTCCTCTGAGAGCTCTAAAAGAGGGTCCAAGTTAGAAGGGGTACCCAGACTTCCCAAATATCTCATGTTAGGAAACCTCAATGCCATTTCTGGAGTCTTTTTCCCAGCCGCCAAACACAGTCATTCTCTTCATATTTCCCTTCTCAAATGGCTATAAAATCTCTCTTGGTGTTTTTAAGACATATCAAAACAACAAACTTAAAACTGCATGTAGGTGTGTAAGACATATGAAGGACAACTTCACTCAATCCTACAGCTGAATAATGGATCCTTGCAAATTAATTTCTGATATTTTTTAAACAGATGAGTCCCTCTGGCTGTGGGCAACTATAAGGCTGAAATCAATCCTGAGAATTAGTATATTAATTTCCAAGATCCTTGTCTCAGTGGACAAAAATCCACTGTCTTCCTGTGAACATTGCAATGATGAGAACATTAATATTAGATAATTACAATTTTGACAGATTAAATGGAAAATAGTACTAATGAGGAAAAGGTATTATGTTAAATAAAAATCCTGCGTGTGTAGGCTAAGTCAACTGTTGACAGAATCTGACTGAAATAATAAAAGCAAGAAGGGAGAGGTGGTGTTGCATTCTGTCTGAAGTGGCTAAGGTACAACTCTGAGGAAAAGACTTCCAGTTGTACAGTCCTGGAAAGCAAATGGGCAGCCTTGAACATAAATACTGAATGTCTGAAACCATTGATAAGAAGCAATCTAGGGGTCAAGGATCAGGAGCTGAAGGAAGAATCACTGAGGGAAGGAGAAAAAGACGGCACTGGAGGCATCTATATGGTAGGATACAGGCTGGCTATACACATCTCTTCATCCTCTYCAAACCCTGGTATCAGAGATATCAGGGTTCAGTAAAGTGAGGATGATATTTCCAGGGTTACTCCCAGGGTGGTCCTTCCTCACAGGTTCTATCCTGGGCCTAGGTCTCCTRGTCAAACTGGTGCTTCTATAAGGATAGCTGCCCATCCTGTCAGGCATAGCTACTCCCTGCACCTCCAATTACTGCAGCCTTACACATCCTCACAGTTTCATGTTCTTTTCTTATAACTGAATCTGTTTTCTTCTCTCTTACTGAATTACTCCAGACTAAGTAGGACTAGTCACTTAAAAGACGTGGAGACCAACCTGTTCATGCCTGTGTCCTTTGCTGAAGCCTAGCACGGGGCAGAATTTTAATTGCTTGCCCAGCCCCATTCCTGGGCATGAAAGAGGCATGTTTTCTTCCTACCTCCTTTTATTTTACTTGCTCCAAAGGAATTTCATGAATCTAAAACCTTACTGCTGTGTAACAAAGCACAATCCTCTCAGAGGAAACTCTGACAGGCACTGAAGGTTTTTTAATGGAAGTGTTATTTCAAACATTTCTTTCTGTTTGATATTTGGCAGGCAGAGGAAAATGTGATTAGAAGATGCTGGGGACTCTGTCTAGCTTGCCTTCCTCTCTACCTCTCCTTTTCAAATATTTCCTCCCTATTGGTGACCCTTTGAAATTAACTTCAAGTTAATTTCAAGCAGCTCCTGAACTGGAATTTCTGATATTTTGATGAGAAAAGTAGAGCATGTGTGCTAAATTCCTTTTCTTTTCCATTTGAAAAACCAAAATCCCAAATAAGGCTCTACAAAATCCTTTAAGCCGTTCTGTTTAAATTTCTATGGAATTTAAGGATTTATGTCTTTTTTTTCCCCACCTCCCACTTAGTTCCTTTTTGGTTGAATTACATCAGGAGCTGAGATTCACAGAACATACATCATAGCCCTAAGAAAATTCCTGTTACGCTCTAAATTTAAAAYACCCATATCTCTCATCAGCAACAATTTCAGTGGTAAGAGCTTTTCGTAGATACACAAGTCTCTCCTTTGCTYCCATCATCACTGAGATTTTGATGCGGAGTTGGACTGTAAGCTGCTAAGATGCATTTTTTTTTTCTAGCTATAAGCAGGGTCTCATGTCCAGCCACACCAGGCTGTCAGTCCTGCCTTCACTYCTGCCCTGCACTGCTGTATCTAGAAAACACTGTGCTTAATAACTTCATGGCTTGGGCAAAATCCCTCACTTTACTCCCTTGAGGGACATTATGTCGACAGATCCTCATCAAATCACTAATTATTATAATTAGGACAGAATGATCTAGGAGTTAACAAGCATGGTGCCTGTTTGTGAAGCTGTCAACTTGCTGATCCTTCATCCCACTTTCGTTCTGGTCCCCAGCTCGCAGTGAGGGCGCTTCCTCGCTCTCCAGCAGGCTCCTGGGAATCAGGCTCTCTGGGACATTCTGCTAACTGAGAGGAGGCAGTTTCCCTAGCTAGTCCAGCTTCTACACTTGCTAATAGAAATAAATCAGAATGTCAGAGAAAATTTAGAGAAATCACAACAAAAGAAAAACTTGTGAACTCAATACCTGGAGAACTTGATTGAACATGTTCTAGATCTCAAATTTCATGGCTGTGAAAAATYCCTATTGATTTTGATAGCATGGATCAGGTCCTGACGCACATTGATTTCCATTATCATTCTCTCCTCTTCTCTTCTGTCACTAGCATCCATCCTGTTGGGATGCAACAGTCCTATTTTTAACATATTGCTTTCTCTGCGGGGSAAGAGCAATTCATTTGCAGCCTCAAAAAGTGGGAGAAAATCAAGTTGGCTCCAGGACATATGGTTGGACCAGATCTTTCCCTGGTTTAAATTTAGACAACTCAATGCATCCATGCATCCTAGAAGAAAATCTGGAATTGACCTATTTTCTTATAGATACATGTTTTCTAACTTAATGCAGAGCAAAGTAGAACTATGTACTGGATAAGTCACTAGCCTTCAGTGGRGCTGAGAGCACGGRTCAGCAGCTGGCTGTTTGAAGAGCRTGAACAGTTTTGCTGGCTTGTCCTAGATGAAGGTATTTGTAAGRCTTGCTGCTGTGCAAAAGAGAACATCTTTTGCCATTTTCCATGGAAAGCAGCCAGTAGATGCAGCTGTCCCACCTGGTGTGGGCACGCTCACAGAATTCCTTACCAAAGCCTCAATGATCCTGGAGAACAATGGCAGGGAGTGTTGAACTGTGGCAAAAGAGGACTTCAAGGAAACACCCTCCTCTCCATGTCAGTACCAGGCCAATGTCCCCAGCACGCTGCTAAAAGGTACTCTGCCACTTGCAGCCCTGCCAGCCRGTTATCCTCACAAAGCAGCACATTCCCCACCATAATGCAGCCCTGATGCTGTTTGCAGTATTAGACTGGCTAACGTTTGTGCTCTAACCTCATTCTTTGTCCCTAAAATAGCTTGCAGGTGCCAAGAAGGCTTTTTCCTCGGACTCAAGAGATATGCTGAACTTCTACAATCTGATTTTTCACAAGCTCTGTTCCTCTTTTATTGAACAAGAAATCCAAAATACAAAACCCTGAGGAAAAAAATGATAGATGGATGTGCAGCCAGAAAAACAGCTGGATGAAAGGGCGGAGCAAGAAAAACCTTCTTCTCCTTATTTTCAAGATCTAGAGAAAGTGAAGTAGCAAAAAAAAAGGAAAATAATAAGAAAACAGTAATCCTATCCCCATCCGTTTGAATAATGCTAAAAAAAGACAAGAGAGAGAGAGAAAGATAATCTGCATCTAATTAGAGAAATATTTGAGTGCAAGACAAGCACTGGAAAATGATACAAAAGCCACAGATATCACCAGTATCATTAGCCCTCCCCTGACCTCAGCACTCCTTAATCTGTCACTGTTCTTACCTGATGAACCGAGACTTTAGGGGAGTCTGGACATGCAAGGTTTTCAGCCAGGAAAGTCTGTCTGTGACCATGTCCTGCAGCTGCCTTTTGCCGCTGTGGTCACTGGAGCACATTTCTTGATTGCTAAAGGTGGTATGCAACCTGTGTTGCTCAACAGGAACTGCTGCCACATCTGAAAAACGGTAACAAGAAACATCCGCTCACACCAGTGTGCTAGGTGCTGTACAAGTCAGTGGATCAACAAAACAAGATTAGTACAGAGGCACAGGTGTGCCAATGAGTTCACCACAACTCCTAGTTCTGAGTAAGTACATGCACATTCCTCTTCTTAAACAAATACACTCTCTCATGCAGACACTCTTACACATGGATAAGCCTGCACAAATGCTCATATAAATTCAAATTAGGAAAATACTTTATTGACATGACAAGTCCTACAAGCACTGCCAAAATATAAAAGGAGAAACCAGTCAGAAACAGATACGATTCAGCAGGCAGGTAGGACATACAAGACTTCACCTGGCATGGGAGGAGGACAGATACAGCATGAAATAGGTGATGCAAGACTGTTTTCTTCACTTACTATGCTAAGGCAAGCTAGGATACAGAGACTGACTGCTGGAAGAGTTGTTCTCCTGCATCATGAGGACTCCTGAAGGTGCAGCTGCAGGAATAAGCTCTGCACTGCCGAGATCCTAGCTAGCAGAATCGTGACACAGCCAATGTGCCTCCTCAAGCCCACGGAGTCTCACGCCCCTGATGTACCCCTATCTCTGCTTCAGTGAACCCGATGGTTGTCAGAAACTCCTTCTCTTTTGCCAACATGCTTTCGAGAGCCATCTTTGCTCTCTTCCACACAACATGTGCTATTCCTTGCTTTTCATTCCCTGAGGTTCATTTCCTTACAGTTACCACACGTTCTTGTCTCCTCTTACTGCCTCATCTCTACAGCTTTTTGGACAGCAGTGGGTGGGAGGGAGGCAGAGCCTTTCAACACCTAGGCAGAGCTAATGAAGAGAAGCCATCAGTGGGCTCTGCACCCAGTGGAAGCTCTGTTGAGACCAGTGCTTGGGGAGAATAAAGATGCAAAGGTGCAAAGAAGTGTGGGTGGAAACTTAGCTGGGAATAGTCCAGCACCTCAGAAAGTGAATCACACAGAGATCTGAAGTTGGAATGGAATTTTCCCCAAGGTTATAAGGGTGCAGCTGATGGAGATGGTTGTGGTTGGCAAGGAATTTTTCCCCGGGGGACCTTGGCAAGGACTAAGTTTCAGGAAGGGAACAGAGAGATACATGTTTCTCTTGAGAACAAAAGCAAGAATTCAGTGAATGTGCTGCTCAGTTTTTGGAAACACTCCTCTTCAACAATTCTCTAGCCAACAATTCTCACTAATTTTGATTCCCCTGCTGTGGCTGTGGTTCCTTGCTGTTAGCCTTCTGAGGCCCAGGAGATCCAGTTTCGGCTCTGACGTGAATGTGCAGGGACATTCTGAGCAAATGCCTCTCTCCAGCATATGTTGACTCCTCCACTAGTATTATAATAATATAAAAATGACTGCTCTGCCTCAGCCTGCGGGTCTATCTAACCCTTGTTCATCCCAGAAAGGGCTGACAGCAAACACTGCAGGAAAGGGCATGAGATACAAACAACTATTCTACACTTTAGGGAAATCTGGAGCTAGGTAACAACAATGCCAAGAAGCCTAGTTTCATTTGCCAGATAAAAGCCAAACTGTGGAAGTGATAAGTTTAATATTTCTTTCTGCTTCATGCACATAAACCTGTTGTTCTACTTTAAGAGATCTCTAAGAAATCTCTGTTTACAGGAAAGTGCGACTTAAAAAAAATGATTTTGATAAACCATTAAAACAGAAGCTGCCTTCTATTCCAAATGTTCACATTAGCTATCTCCACAGGTGATAGCTGCTAAGTAGACCTCTACTAAGAAAGCACATTTCATTTGCATAAAATGATCAACTCCGAAAATAAATCTTGATATTTATGAGTTCTGCGATTTCTCTCTCCTCCTCCCCTCCCACAGCAAGTGTGCTGTGCATTTCCTCCAGCTATTGATTCAACTGTGAAGCGTGGTTTTAGTCGCTGGACTGGGCAGTCAATATTTCCCTCGTGGCTGCACCCAAGCTTCTCTTCTCCCAGAGCACTTGGGGACATTTGTCCTTCTGGCAGCTCAGCCTCGTGTGGCACCCAGTCCACCATAATGTCTGCATGCTTCATAAGAACAAGGGACAAATAGCACCCCTGAGGCATGAAGAATTGTGGGTGTGTGTATATACAGGCACATACCTTGCTCATGTCATTCATCCATCTCCCGGGGTGGAGCATAGCAAGTACTTAAATTAACGTACAAATTATGAGAGAAAGGGTTAGGCCAGGAAACCAAGGGGAATACAACATCTATTTGAAAGTGCAAAGGAAATTATAATCAGGCGGCAAGATGCAATTAGTCACATTGGAGTTTTGCCAGTTAATATCCTTGTAAAATACTACAGGTCTTATCAGTGAGGGTACGCAGTTCTACTGCTCGAAGGACGTAGTATGGAGAGTTGAACAGGCTGACATCCCACCCTTGTGCAGGCAGTGCTGTCTCAAAGATGGGAGGACAAGTCAAGTAGGTCAGTTCTCTGCTGAACACGTGGTCTGTGGCCAGTGTGATGGAGTGAGAAAAGAAACAAGGACCTGGGTGCAAAGCCTTCCACCTCCTCAAGCACAAACGGCTAAATATCCCTGTGGGACCGAATTGTGGACTTCTTCACGCAGTAACGCTGACTGTCACTGGAAGTCTGCCCATCTGCCGCCACTCCTTGAGCCCCATATCCTGACTGATGCCCTGCTGTTCCTCCACCCGGAGCCTCTCTGCAGAACAGCATTGGAAGAGTTTTCCTAATCCTAATTTAGCCAAATGAGGACAACAGTAGAACAGGATATGATATTGAGGGGAATAACATTTACTACCATGTGCCCTGCAAAGACAATATTGAAACAAAAGGCAGGGAGGAAAAAAAAAAAAAAAAAAAAAAAAAAAAGAAGGGGAAAAAAAAAAAAAAAAAAAAAAAAAAAAAACAGGCAGGCTCCCAGCCCACCTCCCATCCTCATGGGAATGTTTGAGGTAGAGAGGCTTGTGTTACATTGGCTGATTGCAATTACACCATCCTCTGGCTGGCTGGAAATAAAATGAAATTGCAACAGAGTTCCATCTTTAATTGAAATTTCCTGGGATCTGTTATTACATGGCAGTGATTGTTCTGCAGCACTAATGAGCCTTTGCTCTGATGATTATCCAAGTGTCTCTCCAGTTGCTATTTTATTATTGTATTATTAATGATCAGATAGGACTGTCACAGCTGAGATGAAGTTGAACATCAGACAACAGACAGAGCAGTATGCAGAGCAGAGCACACAGATATACGACTACGCTGACACATTCCCCTGCTGCACTGCTGTGCTGTCAGTGCTGCTACATGAAAGACATTGAGTGCATGTTAACTCCCAGAGCAGTGCTGCCCCACTGCTGGTTCTCTAATGGACACAGCAAGCACACAAGTGACCCAGCTGTACTGCCAGCTGCAAGATTTCCCTCCCACAAGTCACAAAATCATCATTCATAAGAAAGCCTGTACCAGTGCTATCAGTATAAGCTTACAACCTCAAGTCACTGTTGACTTAAAGATATATTTGCACATGCTTGAAAGGCCTATTTCCTTTCCTAAATAATAGTGGTAAATTCCACATAACTTCTTCGAGACAGCCCATGGCTACAAAACACCAGCCCATCCAAACCTTACAGCTCAGCATCACTAAATGATCAGAATATTTCAAACAGGCCAAAGGATTTCTCAAACAGCTTTGAACAGCGCTTGCATGTGTTCCAAAGCTAATGCAGCTCCTTGAAATTCACAATTCTTTTCAGTTTGAACCAGAATCCAGGGGTTCTGCACTGTTCTTTCCATTTTACCTCCTCCTTAGAGCATCAAGTTGGACAAATCACTTTTCTGTACTTTAGTTACTTCCATTGTAAAATGGGACAAGTATAATGCCAGAGCTGGGCAAATTTCAGCTTTTTGTGAGATGTAGCCAAAAATAGAACAGGAACAGTTTTATCACAGCAGGAAATATTTGCAAAAAATCAAGGGGAGCTTAGGGAATACTTTCAGTCAACAAAAGTATCAGAAAAAAGAAAAAGAAAAAAAAAGAAAACACCTGCCACAGCTTTATTGCTTGATTTTTATCACTACAAATAATTTAGATTTTTTCAGAAATTATTATTGTTACTGTTTATACTTTATCAAAATGTGTTAACCCATGAATGAAAGATAATTTTTCCTTTGAGGGTGACTAAGTGATGAGCTGCTATTCATTTCTTATGGGGGCTTTGTTGCCCAAAATCCTAAGTGTCTGTTAATAATTGGACCAAGAATTGTATTCTTCTAATGTCTGATTTAACTGTTAAATAAAACCTTTAATACTTGAACTGTCTTCTTCACCTGGAAGAGCAAAAATTTGGGGATCTTCATAAAGGAAAATATGCTGGATAAGTGCTAGTTATTGTTCTTAACGATGATAAAAACAACCTACATTTCATGTAGATGTTCAGGATACATTCTCTTAAAATACTAACAGATTCTTGCTCTTTTTGTTCTTTCTCAGAAATACACCACGCGATTATATCATTATGGTCTATCAATTTGTCATATTTCAGCATTTTTCCTTAAGGATCTGAGATAAGAAATCACTAAAAAGGTCTAAAACTAGAGAAAAATCATTTTACAAAGGCAATTGCTCCATTTTAGTGTCAAAACACATAACACTTTATATTTGAAAGAATGAAAAAAGAAAAGAAGGATGGAAGGACGGAAGATCACATTCCCTTTAGCAGCAATGATTTCTCCCTGTGCTTTTTGCACATTGCACTTCCAGCTATCTTTCTCAAAAATAATATCAAGGTCTCACTTTATGTGGCAGTTGCCACCCTGTTGAGAGTTAAATTACCCCCTCCTCATCCAAAGTATTATGGCCCTATGTATTTAATGTAAATACACAGGTATAGTCATCAATGTGACTGGCATTATAGGACAGACAATAAGCGGCTCCAAGATAGCAAGGAGCT